GGGTGAACTAATGTACAATGTGTCCATTCAAACATAGTACCACTTTCCAGTTGGGGATCGTCTTCCGTGAACACCTCATCCCATTCGGATGCTTATGACGAGAAAAAAAGACGACGTGTGACCAGGAAGGAGATAGACAGAAACGCAGGGATTGAGGAATTCATACGCACAAACACGTAGTAAGTAGGCTTACACATTTAAATGCATGTACTTTATTTATTACAATAAAGCAACAAATCGCTTTTCACAGATGCATCCGGGTTCAGAAAGAAAAGAACCAACAACAACAACAACAACAACAATCGAAAACAAAACATGGGACGAAAAGAAATGACAGTCCAAATCATCAAACCTGACTGCACAGTCTCGGTTCGTGTGTCTCATCGCCCAAAAGACATGACGGTGATGATGATAAGAGCATGGGATATTGGTCGGCAGTGGATGAGGATTGTAGACTGCTTGCCCCGTCCCCGATCATCTCGTTCGGACGACCGAGTCGTGTTGTGTTCAGACTGAGATTGGGCGGTTTCAACAAGTTAGCCAAATCCGATTCGGTTGACTCGACCAGTAACGGTGTGTGTTCACTGTTTTGTCCATGCACTGCATATGTGGGCAATCGATTCGAATAGATCGATGTGTTCATCACTTGGTTTGAACTTGAGGCAAATGTGGAAGATGGGGCTAGGACACGGGGCAGGGTTCCGGAGCCACTGGTTTCAGTGACCAAATCGTTTCGATTACCCATGGTCTGACTTGGACTGCGAATAACCAAACTGGATCGGACGGTCGGAGTGAATGCGTTGTCGTACGTTCCACTGGAATCGGTATTGTTTCCGTTCATCGGTGGAGGAACTTTAACCTCAGTCGGTTTTAGGTTATCAATACCACTGTCGTTGGACGAAGTGTTTTGTGATCCCGGATCACTGACATTTGGGGACACATTGGCTATTGTGTCCACATTTTCTTTAAATGTGACCCTGGGTCCCAAACTGTTCCCAATCGGAGATTGCCGCGTAACACCGGACGATGTGGAGAATCGGGTGAGCAGACCTGTATTGTTACGTGGTGTGGATGTTCCCGTTCCGTATTGATTGGAACATTCCAGTGCTTGGTCCCCAGTCGAATAGAGGCGAGGAGGCTTCTCCGACCCGTCCATAGTGTGTCTCACCAGACCGAAGGAGGCAGTTGAGTGTGTGGAGAATGAAGGCAATCCGGTTCGAAGAGTACCTTTAAAAAATGGAAGATAGGTATTGTGTCCCAGGTTAAGTAAGTAGATAAGCACCCAGTGAATTAAGCAATACATTTATTGTAGAGAGCACACGTGTAGCCGGTCCATAGACCGGTGCATAAACATGAACGGGCAAGACGCAGAAGGGCAGGTANGTTGGCTCAAGCGTTACACAGCGTCCGTATACCGTCAAATAGGTATTCAAACAGTCAACGAATCATTCAGTGAGGACAGTTTAATACAACTATTCAAGTTAATGGGGCATGGTGTGAGTGTGTGCGTGTATACTAGATCATTTCAGTCCGTGTAAGAGAATAAGAGATCATCACTTTGGAATAAATCTTCTTAATAAAAAAGCACCCCGCGATGGATAACAGAACAGAACAGAGCCGAGTATTCATATCTCCAGACTAGAAATCACATGAGGCCTGCAGAGGATAGATGTAGTATTGAGCTAAGCTGCACTAAACTATCACAACGAGGAGGTGATGGTAGGGTTTGAAACGTTAAGCCTAGCGGCTCAATGTGTTACAACTCCAAACACCGGGACATCGGAAAATAAAAACTGTGTACCTACTATCGAGATGATCAGTTTTATGCGAAATCAATACTGGACTGTTCAACAACAAAACCGTTGTCTCCCGTAATCTGGCAAGAAAAAATGTATAAATAAATTCCAAAAAATAAAG